GGGGGGGGTGCGTGAGTTCTGCGTGCTTTTGCAATTTTCGAAAAATCAGGGTATTCAACAAACATGAGAGCTGCATGATTCTCTTAAACATCCTTCACAGTAACACAAAAAATTAACCAAAAACTATTTTTTTTTTTTTTAACTTCGAAAATGTCCCAGGGGATTCATGTAAAGTAACCCCTAAAATAAAATATCAATTTCAAATTCTGGGGAGCGTGTCATCAGCCTAATCGATTAAGGAATTTCATTTTTTGGAGAAATTCGGTGGAACAGTTTAGCTGCTAGCGATGTCCACAGAGAAACACAGTCATTTCAAGTACCCACAAAACATAGATTCTGTGTACATCATGTGTTAGAGGATATACATATATTTAAAAAAATTTTGTTATTGATTTTTTTTATTCGCTGCAACTCATTTCACGATGATCAATTATCTCGACTCGACCCCAATGTCTTGACTAAAACCTGTTGGCTGTCTATAGTCTATATATTCCATTACATGACGGTTTCAAAATAAAAATTTATTTTCCACAAATGTCCACGTCCCAAATCTCAGCTTTGTTTATATTGTCTTTTGCATCTCCAATGTCCAGTAATTATTGTTTTTGTTGTCCTGGACCATTTCTATGTCCTACGACTTACAACTCAATATTTGAATTTAATATGACCATGTCCAATGTGGTTACCCATTGTCCTCTGTGTAAATGTAGTAACTTTCGCTTGACTCACTATTCCATATTACATTAATCAGTAATACCATTGAGATATCTGTGTATGTCTCAATACAAAATCTATGTTTTGAAAATATCAACATCAATCTTGGATTCCTATTCAACTAGATTACTTGACGTTACATTACCTTGCTGTGTAACGGTATCCTATGATCACATTCAGAGACAAAGATTTCCTTGGTTTTAAAATTCGTTTGAATTTTGTATATATTATATCATTGTGGCTGATATATAACAAATCTTGTCCAACTGATTTTGCATACTACAATTTCCACAGATAAATTTTTATTAAAAATCCACTTTTTCTAAAACCAATAAAATGGAAGGGAAAACACAATCCAAATAAAAAAAATAATAAAACATCTAAGAGCAATTTAATTGCATCATTGCACATTATTTATGTAGTTTGTAAATGAAACACTGGGATTTATTTGTTTATATCTTCAAATTTATACAAATATAACACTAATGACATATTTTATATCACTATAACTTACCAAGTAAGCAGGAACATATCATGATTCATATCTGATTTCCATGTTTGTTACGGCCTTGGATTCAGGAAGCATCATCTAGGTTAGGCGATGGTCGTCTAAAACGGGCAACCATCTCTTTGGAAGTGCTTCGTGCGCGAACAACTTCTGTTGGATTTTGCTCATCTTGAAACACCCATATAGTCGACTGCTGTTTACTTTCGGGCTCATACACGTAAATCCATGATTCATTACCTGTCACAATGTCATAGACTTGTTTCGAAGCACCGCGATCGTATTTTTTGAGCATTTCTTTCAACCAATCAACACAAGCCTATTTTTGTGCAATTGACAAATTGTGTGGTATCCAACGCGAATAAATTTCTTTGACAGTCAAATGTTCATGCAATATTGAATGTATGCTGGTCCCACTAATGCCTAAGGTTGTCTCAATCTCACGATAGGTCTCATGACGAACTTGCAATATCAGTTCACGCACAGCATCAATGGTGTTCGGAATAACTGATTTTGGACGACCTTCGCGAAATTCGTCTTGGAGTGAACTGCGACCACGATTGAATTCACCACACCATCGATAAACACTGGTCTTTGATGGAGCTTCATCACCAAAAATTGAATTAAGTTCATGCATGCACTGTTGCTGAGTTAATCCTCGTCGAATGTTGTACGAAATAATCGCACGAAAATGTTCACAATATAATTCCATTTTTGGGCCAAGATGAATCTTTTAAGTTATTGTAAACAACACAAATAGCGCTCGTATGTCAAAACTTTCTGAGTACGTATAACATGAAAACATCCAACTTTACGATAGAGCTGTCAGTTGCCAGATTGCAACACCAGGGTTGTCAAATCTCAAAACATAAAAGGCAACCTTCGTGAGGAGGAGGAGGAGGGAGGAGATGGAATATTGGTAATATTTACTCAGTTAGTTCAATTTTATTTTTGAAATCGGTTTCCAAATCGAAATTGATATTTTGAGTAATGCTTCAAACAATTTTATGATGGTATTTGAAGGAAGATGGAAATACGTGAACAATATAGTGTGTTTTATACTACTGTTACAGACAATAAGAGACCGTTTACCGCTGTTACAGCATCAGTAGTTTGATATGTGGGGCAAAAATATATTGAGATGCAAAGTGACAAAAGTATAACACGCCTGCCTGCCTTGCCCGAAAGATTGGCCTCCTCCCACGCCGCAGGCTACCGGGAGCATCAAGAACTCTCGAAGGGCGGGTGACGCACCGGGGTGGAATGGAGAGTGAAGTGAGAAATTTCACTTTACGACGCTCCTATTCCTCTGATATGCATGATTGACAGGCCGTTGAATTCAGGGAGTCCGTCGTCATCACATTCTAAGTGTACATCTTTTAATTTCATCCCGGGAATATAAAAGCAATTTGAAATTATTATTATTATTATTATTATTATTATTATTATTATTATTATTATTATTATTATTATTTTCTCTCTCTCTCTTTCTCTCTCTCTCTCTCTTTCTCTCTCTCCTCTTCTCTCTCCTCTCTCTTCTTTCTCTCTCTCTCTTTCTTTCTCTCTCTCCTTCTTCTTTCCTCTCTCTTTCTTTCTCTTCTCTTCTTTCTCTCTCTTCTCTCTCTTTCTTTCTTTCTCTCTCTTCTCTTTCTTTTCTTCTCTCTTCGCTCTTTCTTGTGCGTGTGGGCTGGCGTCTCTGGCGTTGGTGGGCGTGGTGGGGTCATTTTCTCTCTCTCTCTTTCTTTCTCTCTCTCTCTTTCTTTCTCTCTCTCTCTTTTCTTCTCCTCTCTCTCTCCTCTCTCTC